TAATTTTAAATTTCCAGTGTGAGACTAAATTATTGTAGTCGCCTTTATTTCTTTTAATATCTGATCTGCCAGGGTAAAATTTTAATCAACACAAGTGTTCTAATCTTTTTTTTGAACCTATGAAAACAAAATTATAATAAATATTTCAAGATTTGATAAAGGAAAGCTATCAATTAATGCCCATTCTGGATGCAGGCTGGCAGTGAGATCTAGCACCTCAGTCATAACCTGTTATAAAAGCCAAAGACACTTTTTTTTACGTGTTGGATTTTCTGCTAATATCTTGATAAGGACTATTTTCTCTGTGAAAGGTTTGATTGCAATTGGAAAACTCTGCATTGTTTTATTTTTTAGGTGTTTATAACAAAAAATGTTTCTTACCTTATTTCTGTGCATGCAATAGGCAGTTGCTCATCTGTAAGAGTTATTTCTGTTTTTACTACACTGTGCCCTGTCAGCATACACAGAATAATTTATTGTTAAAACATTTCTTTGGTCTCCATCAAAATCTTCACTTTGATAACATATGTATTGAAAGAAGTCTCAAGTCTTGTTTTCTTTCTTTTCTTTTTTCTTCTCTTTTTGAAAGATACTGAAAATTTCGTGCTTCTTTTTGGATCCATGTGGTTCTTTAGTGCTGATCTCCACTGGATTTAAAAAGCATGTACAGATAACGGTGCAATAAAGGCAGTTAGACTGACTAGCTGACTAGAGTATTAATAGACTTAGCTGTTTATTTTGAGAGGTGATTTCATTTTTAAAAACCAACTAACTAAACAACAGAAGACACACAGTAGTTGCTTATTTGGTGAGAAATTGCTTATTTGGTGAGAAATATAATGGGAAAATTATCCCTCTATTGCAGGAGAAACAGTGTGAAAGGGATGAACTGCCTGTTTTACAAGAAAATAAATGCTGGTCCCAGATGTCATCCTGGACTAATCTGGAATGTGCACATTCTGGGATAAAACAGTGACCAATACAGATCAATACAGAAGTACATAGATAGCTCTCTGTATAAATGTATCGCAGTGAGGATCAGTGATCTGACAGATCACACAGGTAGAGAAGGAGCTTGGACTCCCGGTGGTCATCCAGTCTGACATCCTACTCAAAATGGGATTGCTGCAAAAAACTGATCAGATTACTGATGGCTTTGTCTGCAGAGGTCCTGGGAAGTGATGACCCACAGTTTTGTCCATCTGCTCTGCTGTCTCTCCAAAACTCATGGCCCTCTCTTGACTTTAATGGAGGAAGGAGCAGTTACCTGCTCTGCCACAGTCTTTCTCTTATAAAATTCAATCTTGATTCTTCCTCTTGTAGCTTTCTTTTTGAAGATGGCAAATGTGTTGCCTCTAAAGAGAAGTATTCCAGCTAGAGTAGCAGAAAATGCCTTCAGGACAGGATCTAGGTGCTGGGCACAAGGATGTTTCTCAACCTGTGCAGCACTTGCTTTCTGTGAGCTGTGTGCCTGAAAATGCTGTCAGGCAGCACTGAAAGGCTGATGAGGGCTTGAATTAAGTGTTGTAAGGGTCACAAATCATTGTGTAGACAGACACCAACAATTATTTCCCAGTCTTCATCTATAAGGAATTTAAAATATTCTTCAAAATCAAATTCTTGTTACTGTGTGAAGAACTCTGTGATTTAGTTTTGTCTCTAGTGTTTTGCCAGGTTTTGCTACTGGTCACCATTTGCATCTTGAAGTTGTAACTTGCTCTAGTTACTTAAGCTCTTTTCTTTTGGAGACTGGATCAGGGAGCCAAGGAGCAGAGGGAAGTGAAATGCTGAAGTTATTTTTTTTCCTTGCAATTTTTTACTGCAACAGACATACGTGCACACTCTCAGTTGTGAGATTAACATTTTTTGTAGGATAAATAAGTATTAGAGGTAATTACAGTAAGTGTAGTCCATTAATATATCTGGGAATCAAAGGCATTATTTATTATAGGAAAATGGTTATGAAGATGTCTTATGATATACTTGGAGCTAAATTTAATAGGGAAATAATTTCATTTCATATATAACTTGTGTGAATGCCAAGTAATAGGAAAGCCAATTTGTAAAATTAGAATATTGAAGCATGATACTGCTTCAGACTGTCCTCTTTTCCCTGTCCCACTAAACTGCTGCTCCTCAGCCAGTCTGATGTCATTGGCAGACTTGACCGTAGGGACTTAACGACATGGACCTTCACTGCCAAGTTAAGATTGCTTTTTCCTGGGCTTTGGGACATGTTCCCTTGCATAGCCATTCTTTCTGCTGCGTGCAGGATAGCCACGGATACAGCTGTGGTGTTGTGTAGAGAGAGGAATTGCTGCCAATTCCCATTCCCTCATTTTCAGTGGTTTTGCTGGGATAGGCAGGCCTTTTAGACCCAACCAGTCCTGGGGAGATGGCTCTCAGCTTGGGGAAGACGAATAGGATGGTGTAGACGAATAGGAAAGAAGAGCTGTGTCACAGCTAAGCAGGACAAAAGAATACCACAGAATATCCAGTACCTAAATAATTTGGTATTAAAATTATTCCAACTCTCCAGAGTATTACCTCACAAACAGTGTAAAGAAATAAGATCTTATTTCTTCTAGAGTTGGTGGAAAAATTACACTTGCACAAAATAGTTTTGAGAGATGTTATAAGCTGTTTTTTAATTGGGTCCCATTAATTTGCTGTGCATGCTTTGGAGCAGAGAGTGAGTTATGATGAAGAACATCAGAACTGGCTGTCAGAAGTTTCCTGTAGAAGCATGGAATAGATTCTTGTCTCTCCCATTTTGTGGGAAGTTCTTAAAGCAGGGCCAGTGCTGGCTTCTGGCATGGGTGCTCTGATGGGGATTAAGGTGGAACTCAAGAAGAGCTCAGTGCTGTGTAATAGAGTGTTTCTTTTGACTTTTAAGGGTTCTGTCCATTTCATGACACTGTCTATACATTTGAGATTATATTTAAATAAAAGGTTTTCATAGAGGTGAACTCAGGTGTGATATCTCTCATACTGTTAGAATGAGTCCAGAGAAGGGCCACAAAAATGCTGGAAGGCTGGAGCACCTCTCCTGTGAAGACAGGATGAGAGAGCTGAGAGTGTTCAGCCTAGAGAGAAGACTCCTGGGAGACTTTAGAGCACCTTCTAGTGCCTGGAGGGGCTCCAGGAAAGCTGAGGAGGGTCTTTGGACACAGGAGAAGATGAGGGACAGTGGTCTTAAACAAGGTTAGGGTAAATTTAGATTTAGATTAGACATTAGGAAGACATTTTTTACAATGAGGGTGGTGAAGCACTCGAACAGGTTGCCCAGAGGGGTGGTAGAGGCCCCATCCCTGGAGACATTCCAGGTCAGGCTTGACCAGACTCTGAGCAACCTGATCTAGTAAAAAAGATCCCTGGGCACTGCAGTGGGCTGCAATAGATGACCTTTAAAGGTCCTTTCCAACCCCACATATTTTATGATTCTATAACTGTTCAGGTATTGAAGAATTGTGTAGTTTCTGAGTGCCTGTGCCAGTCTTGCAGTTTCCTTGGCTTCACTAGCTCTGAACGATGTGGAATTAATTCATCAATAGTTCTGAAAATGCAGGGAGATTCTGAAGTTTCTTAAGAATACTGTTTTAAACATGAAATGTGAGGCCTTATGAAGTTGCATACTCAGTGTCAGTAAGTCTTTGCAAGCATTAAAGGGGCCTTTAATGCCTTTACA